AGCCAAAAGAAGGAAAGTAAAAGCACTCTAGGTAAAGGTTCCCTTGCTCGAAAGCCAGTCGAATCCGACTCTAGGGTTGCGGTGCTCATCTCCATTTCAAAGCCGAAGAGCCAGCGCTGTCCGAAGACGTTTCTGTGGTCATGTGGCCGGTATGACTAAACACCAAGGCGCACGGAACACTGTTACCTTCCCACCAAAGTAGTACCTATTTATCTACTTGCAATTTCTTGCTTTCGAACTGCTAGGTTGTCAGGAGCTGGAACTAGAGATGGGAGCTCACTCCATCATGCAGCACCCGGGTCTCGAACTGCTGAACTACTGACCTTCCACAGCCTGCAGTTCAGCGTCTGAACCACTTGAGCCACCGCAGCTCCTAAAACTCTACACAACCCCATACTAGGTGTCCATCCCTGAAACACAGACAGTCAGAAAAAGGACACACAGATACAATCAAGCCTGAAACCAAGATGACAGAGCAGAAGTCAGGATTTGAACCTGGCTTGTGAATAGGCTTGCCAGCCTCCAGGTGGGGCCTGGAGATCTCCCGCTTTCACAACTGCCCCTAGCTGACAGAGATCAGCTCCCCTGGAGAAAATGGCATTGTGCCCTGCTGAGACCCCTCCCCTCCCCAAACGCCATCCTCTCTCGGATCCACCCCAAAGTCTCCAGGTATTTTCCAACCCAGGCCTGGCAACCCTACCTTTGAATTCTGGTTAACACTAACACTGGCTAACATAATGCTACTTTGGTTGGAGCAAACCACAAAAAAAAGCTGCAGCTGTATTAGCAATCCTACATATTTTTCAAATGTCTTGGATATTGGGGAAATTATGCTGCATCAGCTCCAAGATCGTTTTACCTGATCGCTGTGGCCTACATTTTTCAAACCCTTGCCTGTCTGAACTGGATGGGTTAAAATAAGATTTAATGCATCAGACAGGCCATTGCTCACAGACGAAGGGGGCCAAAATTGAGTCGGAGACCTAACAGTGCAGGGGTATCTCAAACTGCAGAGGTATCTCAATAATGGAGATAACAATGGGATTCAAAAAGAAAACCAAAAGGGTGGTGGACGAGCAACTGCCTGCAACAAGGCTACCAGATTCAGTGATTTTATCTTGCCACAGTCCAGAAACAGTTACAGACTTAAAGACGCTACAAATGGAGGGCAATGAAAATCTGAAGGTGAAGCAATCCTGGTGTTTGCTTTGGAGTACAGAAATCATTTAGTCCTGGAGAATAACAAAAATGTGTGGTTCTCCGCAGACAGTTTTAGCCATTTCTGCTGTGAGCCATGCCAGAAGGGCATCTATGAAATTATATTGATAGAAAGGGGTAGGGAGTGTTGGATATTGCAGCTCTTCAAGAAAGAGGATCTGGGGGAGAAATTAAGGGAACTCTCTCACTCGGGTACACTTGACAGTTGGCCTCAACCCTTTCATCAGTTAGATATTGAGCCTTTTTGGCCATTGCTTGCCTTCTGCTTCATCTTATATAAGGTCCTCTTACATGGGCTTGGAGCTGTAGCAAGTTAACCTTTTTGAAGATAATCTGTTCACAATAAGTTAAATGTACCTACATGAACAGAGCAGTCCAGTCTTTCAGCTTTACAACACCCATTCCCACCTAACTCTGAGACTGCCAAGAAATCTCTCTCCTCAAGTTTAAAATACCTGTCTGAATAACAGAAACAGTCAATGGTTTGTGATAAACTGGCATTTATTTTTATACAAAGTTATCTCATTCCTCTTGCCTGTTCACCTCATAAATCCTATACCAGATTCCTACCTGACCATCTCCCTTTAAAGTTAGATAAAACTGTTTGTTACTTTTGAACTACCATCAGCCCCTCATGGGCCATTATCAAACCAGGATGTAAGAAGGATTTTAGTCTCTCCCCTTAATTTCCTAAGTGGGTCAGCTTTTACCAATATACATTCAAATGACAGGGTAAGACAGCTAAAGAAAAACAAAGAAGGAAAAAGGGGCTGCTCAGCGAGAAAGAAGATAAAGGGAAACCCTATAAGGAAGGGCAAAATGGTCATAGTCATGCTTGATTCCTTTCTACCAATCAGCTCTCACTGGGAGGCAACTATTCAGGTAGGAAAGTCACATAAGTCCTGTCTTGCCCACATGGCTGCAATTTTCACACAGCATCACCAGCAGCACGACAGCTACTCAGAGAAGCAACTCCCATGCTACTCTGGGTTTTTGTGTGTAACCAGTGGGGGCGGGTGCAGAGTGGGAAGAAAAAGCTAACAAAGAAAAACCAAACTAACTGAAAAGTTTACAAAGCTCAGCTGTGTCGATACATAAAACAGCAGAGAATAAAGAAATACACTGGGGACTTTATTATGTAAAATGAAGCAAAAAAAAGCCACAGCAGCAGTTATCTCAACAATTGTACAATACTTGAACTGTGGAGTGCTAATTTGAGTCACTTTCTGGATGAGCTAGGAAAGAAGCAGCTCTCCATAGTATGCTACCCTGTACAACAGGAATACAAGCAGGGGTCATTTGGGGCTGGAGCGTGCTGGAGCACCACTTCCGCAGCCCAGGAGCTGGCACAAATGGTAGTGGCAGCAAGCCGCGCCCCCAGCTCCCCGCACCAAAGTGCTGTGGCCCGGGGGAGACCTGAGGAGGCCTGTCGCCGGCGTCCCAGGGCCCATGCCGGAGCACTGTGGCCCGGGGGAGGCCTGAGGAGGCCTGTCGCCGGCCTCCCGGAGCCCGCACTGGAGTGCTGCAGCCTGGAGGAGACCTGAGGAGGCCCATCGCCAGCCTCCCGGGGTTCGCTCTGGAGTGCTGCGGCACAGGGGAAGCCTGAGGAGGCCCATCGCCAGGCTCCTGGGGCCACGCCGGAGCACTACGGTCTGGGGAAGGCCTTGATCGCGGTAAGTGAGGGATCTGCGTGAGGGATCCGTGGTGATGGAGGGCTTGATGCGGAGGTGGGAGAGCGTTCCTCCCTCTCCCCATCTCTTTGCCCTCTTTCTGTCCCTCCTTTCCTTTCTTTCTTTCCCTTTTCTTCCTTCCTTCCTCTCTCTTTTCCTCCTTCTTTCCTTCTCTTTCTTTTTCTTTCCCTCCTTTCCTTCTCTTCCTTTTCT